GCCGTTGGGGCAGTCCTCTCCCACCCACATCTAATCATCAGAAGGCTGTCTCCACCTTCACAGAACGTCCAGAGTCTGATCACTTCTCATATTCACTGTGAGTGCCCCAACTGAAGCCTTAGCAGCATGTTTCCTAGAGTAACAAATGCCTCCAAAGCTGTCTCCCTTCTGCCACTCCCCTGTAGTATGCCCTTCAGTCAGTGGCCAGGATGACCCTTTCACCCTCCTCAAAACCTGACAGTGATGTCCTAGCACATTTAGAATAACACTCATAGTCCTCCCTCCGTAGCCTGGCCCCTGCCTGCCTCTCCCTCTTTCTCCCTCCTACCTTGACCTGCTTGTTCCAACCACACTGGCTTCTGAGCTTTCCTACAAAGTGCAAAGCAGTCTCCTTCCCTGGGGCCTTTGAACATACTCTCTTCTAGAATGCTCCTTGTCCACCTCTTCTTGTGCCTACTGCTTTATTTTATTCAGCATTCTGAAGGCTTTCCTGGTCACAGCATTGAACTAGCTCTCCTCATCCATTTCTCTCTGATGGACATGTTATCTGATGCCATCTTCTGTTTTGGTTCATTTCTGTCTGTCTACCCCTCTAGAAGGTCACCTTTTCAAGATCAGGGGCTTCCTCTTGATCATTTTTGTGCATTTCTATTATCTGAATCCAGACTTACATATAATTAGAGTTCAAAAATTACTTCTTAAAAGAAAAAAGGAATAAATGCATGGTTGAGTAAGTGATTTGCTTACTATTGGGTAGGCTTATTTCTGTTCCTAGGGAGTCCTGCTTTTAATTCCTTTCTGCCATCCATCTCACATATGTACCTTAGCATTAACTAAAATATTCTTACACAAGTTGTTTCCCTTGGGTATTCAGTATATAAGTGGCTGACAGTGTGACGTCTCACTAATGGTGAGGTCATTGGAATAATTTTCACATAAAAGGTTGATGGCAGGTTTCCCTAACACTCAGAGTAACCAGGCAGCAAAATGGTTTTCAGGGCCTTGAAAAGGCATTAGTCTTCAAAAAATTGTTATTTCAACATTTTGTGGAAACTTGAATTTTTACAGTTAGATACATTTATTTGGTTTATATTTTATTTTTCTTTTTAACTTGTTCTTATCTCCTGAAAACGCTAAAATTTGAGCCTATGTGACCACAGTGTTCATATTCTAATGGCGTGCTGCAGTCCATGGGGTCGCCAAGAGTTGGACATGACTGAGCAACTGAACTAAACTGAACTGAATGGATGATATTCTCAGCAAGTCTCTTTATAGACTTGTTGGGAAGACTATATGAAGTTATACACCTAGATTTGTTAATGCAGTGCCTGTAACAGACTTAGTATGCAGAAACTTTGATTGTTATTATTGCTTGGGGTATATGTCATGATATCCTAGAAGCCTTAATAAATGAATGCCTTGTCTGTCCTGTTCAGTCAGGCCATGTGACAAGACAAATGGATCCATTCATGAGGAGCTACATTCATGAGGGGCTATGAGGATCGACTAATTGGTTTCATGTCATGGCCGTTTACTTTACTTGAGGCATTTGTACAGTTGGTTTCAAAGTGTTCTTTATCGACAAGATGCAGAATCTTGGACTTTGAGACACCTCCTGTTTCTCTCTTAAGCAAAAGGACAAAGTAAGGCTTGAAACGCAGCAGAGTTGGGCGAGAGAGGGTGGAAAGGTCTGGGCTTTGATGTGGACTTGGCCATTAAAGAGAATGTCCCTGGCAGTCAGGAAGCCAAGTTGTCCAGAGGCTGGAGGGCTATTCCTGTCACAGCCTCTGAGGGAGATAGCAGGCAACATTTAGCTGAGAAGACTCCTTTGATTTCCTATTCTGTCAGATCCTAGAGATACTTTCCCAGGTTGGATGAGTTCAGAATGTTCAGTTTTCCTGGCTTCCAGGTGATTTGTGACTGAACATACTGCATTTGAAAAAATAAAAATAAAGAAGCAAAGACTATGAAAAGACCAGCATGTTAAAAAGGAATATAGAAGTCCTTCACTAGTGTGCTTTTTCCTTTGCCTATTGCTAGGTTGGTATTTTCTCTGAGGTAGTAAGCAATAGTAATCATGATAAATGTCTTCTTCTTTTTTTTTTTTTTTAAGAGGATTTGTTGTTTGGTAGTGAATGGAATTTGGGTGTTTTTGGTTAAAGAGCTACCAAGAGGGTTTTTGTTACTTTATAGAAAACCATAGTCATTAAACTTTTCTTTTCATTTATCTCTAAAATGACTTCCAAAATTCCTCCATTGCTAATTCTTACAGGGTCATGATAAATTTATTGAAAAAGTTTATGCAGCAGCATGGCCCATTCCTTTCAAACAAGTGAACAAATTGCTGTGACTTGCTATGATTCTAAATGCTCTTAAGTTTCTTTTATGCTCTTTACTGAATTTTGATTCTTGGAGGTAAGACTATGGCATTCCTGGATCCCTAATATTAACTTCTGATAAAATCAATTAAGTTCTCATAAGTACAATGTTGAGTGTGTGTGTGTGTGTGTGTGTGTGTGTGTGTGTTTTCTATGTCAGTGGGAGACAAAAAAAAAACTAGGTGTAGAAGGACAAAAAAGGGAATTAATATTTATTGAACATTTGTTATGTGTTTTGATCCACATTCAGTGTTATTACCCTTATTTTACCAATAGGAAAATAGAACTGAGCCAAAGTCACATGACTAGTAAGTGGAAAGGCTCAGATTCAAACCATGTCTGATTCCCAAGCATGCTTGTTGTCCACACGTTTCTGCACCTTTTCCCCACCTAATTTGCTCACTCTATCATAGGAGCCTTAGGGCAGGACTGCATCTAACCTCCTTAATAGCTAGAGAGCTGTTTTAGGGAATCAGTGGGGGGAGAGGATTTGAAATGAGAATGTGGTAACTTTCCAGCAAACCCACCCCTGCCACACTGTGCCTTGCCTTAGAGTCCAGATTCAAGAGAACTGACCTGTGTCCGAGACTCAGAGACACAGGGGACAAGCCTTCTGCCTGAGTGACCGTGGAGTCTAGGTGACCCCTCTGTCTAGTGAGGAGAAAGAGCTTTGGATCATCACCTCTGGAGAAGGACCATCTCTGGAAAGACTTAGACTTTTCTCAATCATTCATGCCCAGGAATTAGAAACATATTATTGTCTATATTCATCTAATAAAAGCAGGACTTAGCTCTACACTTCAAACCCTTGTCCAGCTCTCTGAGTGACTTTCACTTGGAAAACCCTGTGAAAATGAAGTCCTGAGGCGAAGGGAGCAGAATCCTGTTACAACAAACCCCACAGGATTATCCAAATTCTTTTACTACAGTGGGCTTTTCATAAGACTGATGATCCTCAGCTTTCATGCTTTTTAGAATGACAACCCTCATTATCAAGGGCTTTGCTCACTCTGAGGTATTTTAGAGATTTGCTTCCTGATTTTGATGTCTGTTACTTGATTTCAATTTTACTCTAGTTTCTAAAAGGCCAGGGCCTTGGTGAGGTATGTTTATTTTTTAGTGCTATTTTTTTCTTTGAACAATCCCCAAACTGAGAAATTTTTCCTAAAATATGAAATGGGACAGCAGATATGAGAATGTTCTTAGGTGTCATTTGTTGCTCCAGTAACTAATGAATCTGCTGATATTTATGTGAATTCTGTAGGGTTATATTAACGCCATGGGCTTGAGGAATGCTCTTATAAACCACAAAAGGAGATTCTGTCTGAAATCGTTCTCTAGGTATGAATGTAGTATTATTATCGTTGTTTTATATTCTGTAAGTTGTGTAGAAACTTCATTATGTCTTGCCCCTTATTTGTGTCTATCACTGTGTATCTGAATCAGTTGTAAACCAAGAAGATATATTCTATGTCAGTATAACAATGGCATGTCTGTATATGTGTGAAAAAAAGAAAAGCAACTCACCAATTAAATATAGTGGTACATGGAAGCTGAGCACCAAAGAATTGATGCTTTCAAACTGTGGGGTTGGAGAAGACTCTTGAGAGTCCTTTGGACAGCAAGGATATCAAACCAGTCAAACCTAAAGGAAATCAGTCCTGAATATTTATTGGAAGGACTGATGCTGAAGCTGAAGCTCCAATACTTTGGCCACCTGATTCTAAGAATTGATTCACTGGAAAAGACCCTGATGCTGGGAAAGATTGATGGCAGGAAGAGAAGGGGATGACAGAGGATGAAATGATTGGATGGCATCACTGACTCAATGGACATGAGTTTGAGCAAGCTCTAGGAGTTGGTGATAAACAGGGAAGCCTTGTGTGCTGCAGCCCATGGGGTCATAAAGAATTGGACATGACTGAGTGACTAAACTGAACTGATGGTGAACTCATTTTTAATACATATACCTTTATTCCAATGGGGTCAAACTGATAGAAATACCTGTATCAATAAGATTGTAAAGTTGGAGGTCGTCTCTGTTCATTTAAAATAATATACTCACACATTCATACACTGTCCTACCAATTAAAAAAGAAAGCCCAACTTTCACACGAAGTCATCTAAAAGTTTGTGGAATTAAACCCCATGATGAGTTCACCTCCTGGGAATTAAGCACATTTGGTTTCCAGCTCCTTCCTCTAATTTTTTTTGCCATGCCACATGGCATGTGGGATCTTAGTTCCCCAGCTATGGATGAAACCCACACCTGTTGCATTAGAAGCATAGAGTCTTAACCACTGGACTACCAAGATCCTTTCTCTGATTCTTTACTCTCTTAGAGCTTTAGGGCTGAGATATTTTCAACTATTTATCCATATTTTCCATCATTCAGTCTTCTGGTCCTGTGCTATTAGCATGATAGACTGCTTACTTTTTCTCAAGGAAATAAAAGAGGTTTAGTATTCAAAGCTGGTAAATATCTTTATCCATAGGCAAAGATTTGATACTAGAAAGAGAGATGATTACATACATTTGATGTCAATAACTTAAGTTTCCTGTGGAATTCTGTGTTTTCCTTACTTCTTCTTCTTCTTCTTTTAAACAAATCACACCAAACAGGTATTCCTGGAAGACCTCTGAATGGAAAGAATGCCAAGTTTCTCTCCTTCTCCAGCAGCAGTACCTCCACTGGCATGAGATGGGACCCATTTGTGGAGGTGGGATCCAGACCCGAGAGGTGTTCTGTGCCCAGGGCATACCAGCGTCCACAGCACAGAGGGCCAAGGAAGGTAGGCGGCCGGTCCTGGGGCCAGATTCTGCTGCTGATTGCCATGGAAATGCATTCCAATACCATCTCCGCATATTTTCCTCGGGATAATGGACCTTCAGCATTCAGAAATTTAAAATTTTATTGCCTATTTGCCAACTATCCTTAAGTTCTGCCACTTGCAATAGTTAGGAATAGTTAAAAAAATACTAGTGATAATAATTTCCTCAATTGCAAAGGATCATTGTGAAAATTAAGTGAGAAAATAGACTAAGATCAGGAACAGAAATGAATGCAACATGATAAGGGGCTAGTATACTGGAGTCAGCCAGTTGGCAAAGAAGTAGTAACATTCTTTTTTTTTTTTTAAGAGAGGTTTTTTTGTGAATGTGAGAACTTCTATGGACATATTGTTTTCAGATATCAAGGATCCATTCTCTTATTGCCAGAGTTTAAATAATAAGAAAATAATAAGGAAGAAAGTAGGGGAGGAAACAACTTTCTCCACGGTAGGCTCTCATTAGGTGTATGCAGTCCTTTTGTTTCAGAGTTTGGCATGGTGATAACATATAAGAACTGAAAAACTGGCCCAGATTTACTTAAGTCAATGGATTGAAAAGCCAAGAGTGTACACTAATGCTTCCAGTCTAGAAAAAATGTATGGTCTGTACCAGACACATTGGAGGGGCACTCATCTATGCCCTCTGTAGAAGTGGTCAAGATGCAAATGCTTCCTTGAGAATGTGCGTGTACATTTCTCTACTGTAGAACTTGGTTGGGGAGAGAGATGTGAGCTTTCTTATTGTGGAGATATATCCATTTTATCCTGTGAAGTTTTTCACACCAGGTACCTTTTTTTCTGACATGGCCTCCTATCATTTCAGAGGCCATGACCATAACCTTCTATGATTCACTGCATGACTAATAGAAGGGTCATCTTTACAGACTCCTCAGCATTTGCTTCAACAATTGAAGTTACAGTGCTGCATTTGTAGGGCAAGAATTATTTAATAGGTGAATTTTCTTCCTTCTTTAATGTCACTTTTGGAAAGTGAAAATTTACACACTTTCTCTGACAGGATAGATGTGACTATGCTTACTTTTCTAAATTTGGAGGAATAGAACTTAGATTAAAAAATTCAAATTTTCTTTCAGACCTTCTATTTCACTTTCTCTTTCTTATCCTTTACTGTTGTCTACAGTAACAGGGTCTTTAGGGGTCAAAACATATATAAGAATTTTTAGAATTGATATATTATGATCTATTTTCAGCTTCAACATTGAATCTTCTATTGACATCTTCCTAAAGTTTCTGTAGTAAAAATAGCTTTCTTATCTTATGGATCAACTATTTCTAAAGTTTTTTTCAACCTTAGTCTTTCCAGCTTTCTTAATGGAAACATGCTGGGCAGGAAGTTTGTAATGAGGAAGAAATTGGAAGGATGGTGTTCTAGGGTTGGGAATCACATGCTACATGTTGGGAAATGTTAAGTAGGGGAAAGATGTTAAGTGCACATTTAGCAGCCTGTTAAGCCCCAATATAATATGCTTCAAGCACCTAAAAAAGAGGAAAAAATCTTAGAACAAGGTACTTCTAAATTAATACTTTGGACATGGAAACAGAAAGTGCTTAGAAAGCCTAAGCTTAATAACCCACGTCTTGGGGGCTGGTTGGTGGAGGTGCTTAGATGTGGGGACGAGATGCATACCCATGGATGTATGTGATGAAACCATATATTCATGTAGAAATTTGAATAAAGTAGTCAAACTGTTGCTACATTGGAAAATACAGGACAGCCACATTGGATTAAAGGCACGGTATAGCTTACTGCTTATATCTGTAGTCATTAACAAAGGTCTGATTTTGCCATTGTGTGGAACTGAGCCAGGAATATTATTTATTAGTTTTGTTTCTTATAAATGCTTTCATTTTCTGCTGTTATCATTTATGGATTGTTGTTTAGTCACTAAGTTGTGTCTGACTCTTTTGCGACCCTGTGGACTATAGCCCACTAGGCCCCTCTATCCATGGGATATTTCAGGCCAGAATACTGAAGTGGGTTTCCGTTTCCTCCAAGGGATCGTCCTGACCCAGGTATCCAACCTGTGTCTCCTGCTTGGCAGCCGTATTCTTTACCACAGAGCCACATGGGAAGCCTGTCATTTATGGATATACCTTGACAGATCTGGCAATGTGAAGATTTCTTCTTGGCTCAAGTGAAATATAAGAAAACAATTGAATTACAACTATAAGAGACCAAAGTGTGTGTTTGCCTAATTAAAGAGGCAGAATTTAAATATTTCTAACCTTTCTGATAATGCAGTAACAAAGGCCAAACTTGGTAATTTTTTTTTTTTTTTTTGCATTTCCATTTTTGTGAAGATCAGCTTTTTTGTTTTGTTTTCCCCATTATTGCATCAGATTTTGTTTTGGAGGGAGAGGGACATTTAATGGCACTGATTTTGGTAAACTTTTCTCAGTCACAGTTGACTTTCCCACCAGGTTTGGTTTACCTTTGGATCCAGAATATTTTGCTTACTTTTTGGAGTGGAATTTCTTGATTCTTCTCCCTTGAAAATCCCACCATCCACTGTTAACTAGCTGCTCTGCATTCCAAGAACCTGATCTTAGAGGAACCTACAATCTTCAAAAAATAAATAAATAAATCAGGTTTATTTCCAGGATCTCTCATGAGATAAGATGCAATAGAATTTCTAAATACCAGAAGAAAAAAAAATTGAAAAGGCTATTAATTCTCTCCCAAGGTTCTCCAAGTATCATTCTGGATGGTAAGGCTGAATTAGGACGTCAGTGCAGTTCTGTTGCCAACTTATTGTTGATACCCAACTCTCCATTAGACCTCAGTTCATTGTATGTGTAGTAGTAGTATAATATGGCATATTTACCTGGTTCTGCTAAACATTGACCATGTGGTATTTTAATTGTCGCCAAATTAATGCTGTAATATTGAATACGAGAAGTGTTGCTAGTAATAATAACAAGCCAAGCCAATAGTAATAGTAATAGCCAAGTCAATGTGTGAATCAAACTATAGCAGAATATTTATGATTTTGTTTACCAGTTGCTATTGTAGTAGGGAAAATTGTTGGAGAAGGAAATGACAACCCACTCCAGTGTTCTTGCCTGGAGAATCCCAGGGACGGGGGAGCCTGGTGGGCTGCCGTCTATGGGGTCTCACAGAGTCGGACATGACTGAAGCGACTTAGCAGCAGCAGAGAAAATTGTATTTCTCTTTTATAATTCAGAAGCACCTGCAAGAGTGATACTTACCTATAAATCTAAACACTTGGATTTGTTGATACCATTTTCTTCTTGCCCCTTTCTAAGGTGAAATTAAAACTACTCAGCCTACGTTCAAGAGTCATTAACAAGGGACATACCATCATTAATCTAATAGAGACAGGGAAAAATGTATTTCATTCAAGACAATGTGGCCTAGAGATTGGCATATCAACAAATGCAGGTTGAAATAGCATAGAGATATAATGTATTTATATGGTGAATAAAACAAAACAGAAACCTAAAAGCTAAAGAAGAAAGACTGAAAAGATACTGGTGTGGTGGCAGTTAAGCAGAATATTACCTAGATATTTCCCCATGTTATAGATTTATTATTTGCCATTAAATGGACTCAACTACTTCGGAATGGACACAGTTTAGCTTTGAATTGTTAAGTATATTTAGTTGACCGCTCCACACCAGCTAAGAGTAAATAGTTCTTGAGAGTCCTATGTCTTTATGAAGCTAGGCCCAGAGTGGGCATTAAGGCAGTACATGATATGTCCTAGTTTTAAATATGCTGGTTTGTTGAGTAAAAAAATCGATGACAGTCACACATACATTTTTTTTTTCCAAATGATTTGTAATGTACTAGCTATATTTTAGGGCCTGTCATCTGGACACAGGAATTATAAAGATGCCTCATTAACTTGCAGTCTTTTAATTGTGACAACAGTTGTACTAACAATTATGCTATAGTGTCTTAGGTAGTGTATTTCAGTAATCTTATATAATAAGTTGTTCAGTTCCTCAGTCACGTCCAACTCTTTGCAACCCTCATGGACTGCAGCACGCTAGGCTGTAATATATATGTGTGTGTATATATATGTATGTTATATATATGACATTGTTGTTTAGTCACCAATTCATGTCCAACTCTCCTGCTACCCTATGGATTATAGTCTGCCAGGCTCCTCAGTCTGTGGGATTTCCCAGTCAAGAATACTGGAAAAAAAAAATACTGGAATGGGTTGACATTTCCTTCACCAGGGGATATTCCCAACCCAGGAATTGAACCTGGGCCTCCTACACTGCAGGCAGATTATTGCTGAGCAACTGGGTAAGCCCCATATATATGGCATAGTTAGAACCATTTAATAATGCCTGACATTAATCGTCACAATGCAGATGATGCTTAAAGAGAGTTTGGAGAATCAACAGGAAAAAGTACTCTAAGTTGAGACAGGGAGAACAGATGAAAATATGTAGAAATGTTTATATTCAAGAGTGGCATGTGAACTGTTACAACAGGAGCATAGGAAGTTAAATAACACTTAAAAACTAGGCTCTGAGAAGAACATTACATAATAATTAAGGTATCATTCCAAGACGAAGATACAGCAATGTATATGCATGCAACATAGGAACACCTGAATACATAAAGCAAATAACAACAGACATAAAGGGAGTAATTGACAGAAACATAATAGTAGTTGGGGACTTTAAGATCCCACTTACATCAATGGACAGATCAGACATAAAATCAGTTAGGAAACACAGACCTTAAATAATACATTAGACCAATGGACTTAATAGATATTAATAGATCTATAGAGCATCTAGTCCCAAAACAGCAAAAAACAAACAAACAACAACATTCCTTTTAAGTATACATGGAGCACTTAAGCAGGATAGATCACATGCTAGGGAATAAAATGTCTCATTCAATGTAAGAACATTAGAGTAATATCATGCATCTCTTCTGGCCACAAAGATATGAC